TAGGCAGTGCATGTCCAGGCTTCGCCAGTTTAGGTGCTCGGCCACTTCCAGGATTTTGGCGATGCAACGGCTGACATTGGCAATGCGGCCAGCGTTGGCACACACGCACACACAGCAACGCTTAGGGACGAAGACAAGGCATGCATCACAAGAACTTGCGAGCGGTCTTGTGGCTCCACTGAACAGATACCTGTTCCATCGCGCACTGTCCTGGCTTTATGAAGACTGTCTGCCCATGATGCCGATCGCATGCAACATGCCGAAATCCCTCATCACATGGTCTTTGCCAAGCATACAAACTCGCCATCAACGAAGGTGAATTTGGGTAGTTTTCTGAATTAGGGTCCGATGCCGTACTATATTGGGGACCTAAAAAGGGACCCTAATTTAGAGAACTACCCATTTGAGGATCAGACTAGCAGCGAAATGTGCCTTGCCGGAATCGCAGACTGCCGACTCACGAGCTCGGGCGACCGGGTTTGGGTTTTCTGGCGCTTGGGGGTTTAGCGATTGGGGGTTCAGGGTTTAGGGTGTACGGTTGCAGGGTTTTTGGGATTAGGGTTTAGGGTTTGAGGGTTTCGGGTTTAGGGTGATCCATGTCCCAATTGTCCCAGCCTCCAGTCTATTTCTGCAGCCAACGAAGCTGGCGCGGGCGGCGATCACCGTCATCTGCCCACTGACATTCATACCTGGATGAGGGCCGAAAGCTTGAACTGCTTGCAGCGTTCCTCTTGGGTATGCATTGGCTGATGGCGCATCAACGACTCTTCATGCAGCCCGAGATGCAGGGTCCATCCCTCTCCTGCTCCCCGATGATCTGTATCTCACCCTTTAAGACCAAGTTGCCTGCCCACAGTGCTAGCGTTGAGCCTTTGAAGTTTCTAAGCTCTCAATACACGTCAACGACTTGATTCCAGTAGCCTAAAAAGCCCCGAACCCGGCTGTCAAAGGTCACGAGTGCCTTGGAAAGTCAGCGGCTCCTTGAGAGTCACCTCGCGGCAAACTCACACGAAGAAAGCATCACGTGGCCTGGTAGAGGGTGGCCACTTGGCAAGCTTTGACAACTTAAGGCTTTGCACTGGGTCGCTTCCAGTGCCATGTTCCCCGCCTGCAGCCCTGGATGCCCGTGCCAAGTGCAGCTGCTGCTGAGGATGAGTGCCTCGTCAATAACCTTGACACGTCTTGGAAGCCGGAGCATTGCAAGCTGGCTGCTTCAACTTCCAGAATTACCACTGGTAAGTGCTGCTGCAACTGCAGAAGCCAAAAAGTATTCTTTCATGTGCAGGCCAGCGACGCGGCTGCCATTGCGCGGAAGTCCCTCGCAGTGAGGGTAGTTGGCCTGGGGCTCTGCAGGCCTTTATATATGCCATGTTTTCGCATGAACTATACACCAGCATGCAGTTCGAATCATGTGGTGCCTTTTCTAGCTCCGGGCTTTACATTTTTGGACGGCACGTCAGCTATTTCCCAAGCACTCATGAAGTCCGAACCCGAAACCACAGGCACCCATGGACAAGCGACTGACTCTCCTTCCAGAAGAGCAGCACCTGCCTTGACAAGAGCTTGAGACGCGGGAGGCATAGGTCGTTTTGTGATGTATCTTGACGGGTTCTGACGGCTGGAGTTTGGCTGGGCTCTAGGATCTAGGATTCTGGTGTTTTTCAACGTGGGGCTCGCGCATTGGGGATGATCTGGGTCGAAACCGAAAGCGCATGTGCCCGGCTTTAAGGCTTCTCCGTGCTTCTGAACTAAACTCCAAGCCGCCAGTCCGGAAACCATCAAATCCCCCAAAAGGACTACAACCTCAAACCTCTGAGCCCTGCAGTAAGCAAAAAAGGAGCTCAATTCAAGAACACCGGAGAGAGAACTGAAGCGACCTCGGGAGGAGCCGCTTCACGCAACCCGGGCTCAGGGTCGAAAAGCCACGTCGAAGCCTCTCTGCTGGCTCAGGGCTTCTAAGGGCTCTAGACCTTCGGGGCTTTTGGGCTTTCGAGTTTCAGGGTTTCGGCCTTTAGGCTTCCGTGCCTTTAAGGTTTCGGGCTTCAGGGTCTTTGTTAACCGTGCGAAACTTATGGGCAACCGGGGTCTAGCTGTTTGGTGCCCATGGTCTTGTCAAAAGAAAAGCCAGCACAAACCCTGAGTCCACAAATCGGAACTCGACGTAGCAGTAGCTTCAACCAAAGCTCTGGACCCTAAGACGCGAAAGAGGCCTCTCCCGTCGAGAAGACATCGGCGGGCGCTACCTTCGGAGCTGCATTGAACTTTACAAGTTGAGGATTTTGTTCAGAGGCTCGATACACATATGCCCCCAAGAGAACTGATGGGCTTGGGGCCCATGATCTTCCAAGACGACGGACACCCCAACGCTACGGCCGGCCTCTGTTTCGAGAAGTTGCTGGATGTCCTCTCGAGGGGTGCGCACGGCACGCCCGACGATCCACAGCCCTTGGGCTGGCGTTGGGCTAAAGCTGAAAAGCTGCATGCTACTGTTTGATGCCTTGAGGCTCTGGGCTTGCTTTCGGATGCCTTAGGTTTGTCCAAATTCAGGCAAGCCCGAGGCGCACAGGAGGGCCGCGGTGAAGGTGCTTGGGACCATCCGAACACATGGAATGCTCCCCGGGCTCAAGAAGCCGGGGAGCCTCTGAGGTCAAACAACGGAGCCTCTGACGGCTGCGGCACACGTCCTGTCCTTTGCTGCCCTTGCACATGGCGGAATCTGGGAAGGCTACAAAGAGACCTTCCGGAAACCAAACCCGAAGGCTCTGGACCGTGTGCAAGCATTCATACAGCATTGCCCCACAACTCACTGCGAGCTTCTGGATGACCCCGGGATCCGAAATCTATCTCCGCCTGAGACGGCATGAATTTACACATCTGGCCAAAAAAAAAACCTGACTCACCCATCATTGGCAAGGCCTCGCCCGCTTTTTGTATGCAATGCTCGCACCTTCTCCCCCCTCTGGAGTCGGGCTGAGCAGGATGTAGGGCTCTGCCCCCCCCTTGGCCACCTAAGCCGATGCAGCTCTGGGTCACTTCTGCCTTAGGGTTAGGATGGTTTACGCTTCCGAGGTAGAGCTGGACGCCCGTGCCCGGCTTGACCCCGCGGAGACGACGTCCCTGGACAAACAGATGGCTGATGCCCCTCATCTTTGGCAGCATTACGTAGCATCTAGCTGACCCTCATGTGCCATGCAGGCTCAAGCGGCATAAAGGAAGCCACGGCGAATGTCGCATGTTTTAAGCGCTCCTACTCAGCCGCGCTGGCGTAGCTTTGGCCGTTTTTCTGAAGCCCTCCCTGTAAGTCCGAGCCTTGGCTCGCACCTGCTCATCTTCACTCCGCGCCGCCTCTTCGAGGAGGGGCTGCACGGCAAGGGGACTTGTGGAGCTCAGTTTTCCCAGAGCATCCACTGCACTTGGGAGCACCTCCGAGTCTTATCACTCAATGCCTTCTTGATGTGAGGCAGCACGACGTCTGCGACGCTTTTGGAGTTGATGCCCATGTCACCCAGCATCTTCACAGCTTTCACCCGCATCCGGTACTTGGTGTCTGCAAGCCATTGACAAATTGAGTAGGAAGCAGCGCGCCTGCGCACCTCCGGCTCTTGGTCGGCCAAAACCCCATCCCTGCGAACCCAATAGCCCAAGAGCTTCGCGGTGTCCAAACGCACTTGCCCTGTCCCCATGCCTCAAGTTCTGATACAAGGCATCCAGAGCGGAATCTCCCGAGCGCCCACCCAGAGCACATGCAAATGCAGATGCGAGCTGGCCCAGGACGTCCATACCACTTTCGGGCGCCGCGCTATCAAGGCTTCCTGCCTTGTGCACAACAGCCAGTATAAGTTCACGATCTAGAGCTCCCAGCCTGCAAAGTGCATCCACCGTTCTCTTTCGCACTTCAGCTTCAGGGTCTCTGAGGAGTGTGAGCACAGCGGTGGGATCAGTGCTCATCTCCAGCTGAGACCGCAAGCCTTCCCAAAATGCCTACTTCTCATCCCTGCTCAAGCGATTCAGGATGGGAAGCATCTGGCCAGCGTTGAGGATGGAAGCGCCCAGTCGACCCAGAGAGTGCGCAGCACTTTCGCCCAAAAGGTTGTCATTGTAGTTGTCGTGCATCTCCTCGCTCAGAAGCACGTTGAGGATGGACAACAAAGCATCGGGCTCTGCGAAGTGCAGCCGACCCGGAGCAAGTGCAAAATCCAGAGCCTAGCATCCGATTGCCAAGAAGTTCCACCGCACTATGGCACGCAGTCCCTTTCTCGCCCAGCGCCCTTTGGAGGATGGGCAAGACCGCACCCGGGTCTTTGGAGCCCAGCTCACACAGTCCTTCCAGAGTTGTGTTTCGCACCCGATCTTCAGAGTCTCCCATGAGCATGAGAACCGCAGCGGGGTGATCCGGATCAGGATGTAGACCGGCGATCAAGGCGTTGGGCCCCGTCTATACCACCAGAGAGACTCCTCTCGTCATCCAACCAAGAATGCAGCAGCCGGTGAAGGATGGGCAAGAGGGGTCCAGGGCTCGCAGAGGCCAGCCTGCCCAAATACCTGGCAGCGCATCCATGCTCCTTCGTGTCCATGTCCTCACCCTTACTCACAAGACGATTCAGGGTTGGCAGCACCGCATTGATGGTATCCGGATCTGCCAGCTGCATGCGGCCTCCTGATAGAGGGTTTCCCTGAGAGGAAATCGTCACTCTGCTTGAAGATGGGCATCACAACATCGAAATGCTTGCAACCAAGCCGGTGCAGGGCATCCAGAATGGATCGTGTCCAATCATCTCTCCATGTTGGGTTGCTGTGTTCTTTCAGCGTCTCTTGGAGCATGCCGACGATGCGAGCTACGATGCCCGAGCTTGAAGAGCCCATATCACCCAAGGCCAGGGCAGCCCATGTATATGTCTCCATCATCATGCATGGCTCCGTTGATGAGAGTGCAGCACGAATCAATCTCCTCATCGCCTTGAGAGCACAGAGTTACCAGACCGAGCATGGCGTTCTCCCGAGTAGCTGACAAAGTGTCATTCATCGCGCTTCTGAGGAAGGGTGAGCGCAGCGCCGCGGAGGATAGAGGCCAGCTTGCGAACGGTGTTCATGGCCTCCGAGCGCCGCGGTCCCTCTTTGTCACTCAGGGCAGGAAGAAGCATGCTCAGCACAGCGCTCGGGTCTGTGGAATGCAGTTGGCCTAGGACTTCTGCAGCAGCTGCACAGACCCGATTCGACCAAGTTCTGCATAAGGATGAGTTGGATCAATGAACCTTTCAGTCTCTGCGAACCTGCAAGCGGGTCTCATGAGGATCTCTCAGGGGCTCTGGTCTAAAGCTTGGGGTCTATGGAGTCGGGGTTAGTTCTTCGGGGCTTTTTGTGGTGAGTACGGCTCCTCAAGTTAATAGAGCCCTGAACACTCGCATCTTCATAGTCCTCATGTCCTTCTGTCTGAGAATGTTCACTGCGACCTACACAAAACCCTATTACGAACATTCATGAAGCCCCCTAGATCAAAGAAATTTGTTGGTAACCCTTCATAGAACCCCTTTTTTTAACCCTAAATCCTAAACCCCTTTAAAAGGAACCCTCAAAAAAGCCGTGCTCTAATCCCTAAAGTCAATTAGGCTCCTGTTTAGGGCTTAGGGCTTAGGGTTTAGGGTCCTATATTACAACAGCCAGCCTCTGCCCCATGAAGTTTCTGGGAGTCTTCTCCAACGTGGCGCAAGGCGCACCCGGTGGTCCGCAGGCCTTGGGCAGGGTTTTATGCTTTAGGCTTTAGGGCCTAACTTTAGGGTGTTCGGTTGAGGGTTCAAGGTTTAAGTTTTGGGGTTTCGAGTCTCGGGTTCGACTTTGAGGCTCTAATGTTCTAGGTATCGAGCTGAGGTGGAGAAGTGGCAACATGTGTGATGGAATCATTTCCAGACTAAGGCCACAATGTAGGGGTTCTGGTGTTGGAACACTGATAGGCAAACGTACAGGTGGCTCATAAAAAAGGACCCTGCCACAGAGCAAAAAAATTGCAAGCTATGGCACCCCGTATTTTTGGGTGTGGCGTTGGGGCGTTAACGATGAATGCCTTGGGGTTTGATTTAAGGGATTGGGCTTTCGGATGCCGCGGAAAACTCCGTCAGTTGCATAGATAACAGACCAAGGCTCGCAGGAGGATCGGGTTGAGCAAGCCGGCTTCAAGCAATGAAACTCATGAATGAGTCAAACAACGGAGCCATGAGCTCTGCATGGGAGCCACGGCTGGCTGCGGCACCTTTCTCTTTGGCCAAGTCCTCCTGATGAGGTCCTCCGAAGCCAAAGAACCCTAAACCCTAAACCCGAAACACCCCAAAAAGGGTTTAGGGCTTAGGGCTTGGGGTGTACCGCAGTTGGGGACTCCCGGAGTTACCCCACGTCTTCCCTGCCCTCAGAGCTGAGCTCCTAAACCCTAAACCCTAAACCCGAAACGCCCTACAGCCTAAACGCCCTACACCCTTAAACCCTAAACGCCCTAAACGCCCCAAACCCTAAACCCTACACCCTGCACTGCATGAAGGAGAACCCACAGCCTCCACTTAAGGCCGTGGATCTCCGAAGCAAAAGGTTTCCGG